GAACTCCTGGTGAACGTCTTTTCTTCAGCTCAAAAGAATTCCCACCACAATAGCGCATCCCTGAACCCCAGAATGTTTTTAATCTCCTCACATTTCCCACATACGGTGGTGAAAAGTACCTTGATGATTATAGCACTTACAGCATAGGAAAGAACACCTCTGATCTGAGCTAACACAGACTAAAATTACTGGCAATAAGGTGTTCTTTCTGTCAGCAGAGGATCTGTATCACACCTTTCTTTAACAAGTGTGAAGGGAAAATGCAGAAGTTTGGACAAGATAATGTGAGACACGTCAGAGTACAAACTAAAAGAATATCAGTAACTATCAAGTGCTTAATAAGCAGTAAGGCCACCCTTTAGCTTCCAAACAGCTTGAGTCTTCATTGACTTTTCTGTCATTCCGGTTGGAGCTGTGTATCAGGGGGATCATTCTTGACAGAAAGCCTCCAGTTCTTTGAAAGAAGTGGAAATCTTTATGTCCCATTAAACCTCACTGAGTTTTAGATCTGGTGGCTGGGGAGACCGTGACAGACTTTTAGCCTCTTTCCAGTGTTCATGAAATGACGCTTAAGCTATCATTTGCTTTAATGATATCATTACAGATCCAAAGGTTTGGAATAGACAAATGTATATTCAAGACAAACTCTGGCTTTCCTCAGATTAAAAAAAAGATTGTTTTTTTTTTTTTCAGAATTGTAGCTTAGTTGAAGATATTTTCAAATTTATACACAAATGCAGTTTTTGCAAAGGGTTAGCTTACTTTTTCCTGCCACTGTATATTTTGATTGTCTGTTTATCACATGTTGGAGACTGTTTCCTCATTAAATACCTTTTTCTTTTTTTTTATCCTTTTTTTGGTTGAGCAGCTACTGGATGGATTGTCATGAATTCCCAGAGGATGAAACCAGAGTGAAAATTAGTGTCCTTTTTCATCAGCTGTGTTCTTTTGTCTAAACATTACAGAAAAGCTAGTGGTGTTGGTTTAAAGATGGCAAAGTCGGTCTGACAGTCAGTTGGTTGGTCTGTCGGTCCAACACTTTGGTCCAGACTGAAATAACTTAATAAATGTTGGATGGATTGTCATGAAATTTGTTGCACGCCTTCATGTCCCTCTCAGGGTGAAGAGTAATAACCCTTAATCCCGCTCATTGTCTGCTCAAAATTTTAATTACACTACTGTTGTACTTCATGTTTAGTGCTAATTTTAGCATGTAAACACAATTAACTAAGATGGTGAACTCAGTACTTGCTAAACATCAGCGTTTTAGCATTGTCACTGTGAGTGCGTTAGCAGGCTAACATTAGCATTTACTTCAAAACACCGCTGTAAATAAGTACAGCTCCACAAAGCTGTTGACATGGCTGTACATTCTTAGTTCAGTTCGAGAATATTATACTACAGTAAGCTGTATAAATCCTCAGATGGAGCTGTCACCTTAGTTTCATTCTTCACAGTTTCCTGGGGCGTTGTGTGCAAACAATTGTGTACCCAAGCACAAAACCTGTGCATCAGTTCCCATTCAGCAGGAGCAAAATAGAAATTTTACCAACCGTGCAGGTGGGAAAAGGGTGAGGGGTGAGGAGGTCAGGTGGAAATGTATGAGGTGATACGCTGCAGTGTGCACGTGTGTGTGCGGATGCATGTACATGTTGAGTGTTGTCCTGCTGCGTCCCACTAGCACACTGACCTTTTACTCTGTCGGTGGGAAAGCAGAAGGCGCCTTAATTACCCTCACAACAACAGCCTTCCTGATGCTGCTCAGCCACAGGACGTCACATTACCCACTGTACACACACAATACATGGTCTATAGGTCTACACTACACATGAAAACTGTGTCTTGCACTATTTGCAAAAGGTCACTTGTCACTATTGCATTGAGCTACTTGCAAATTTTGTACGTGTGTAAACTACCAAATAACTATAGCTCTCAATAGATGATTTTTATACAGCTGTTTCTGTGTTTGACCACACACACACACACACACACACACACACACAGTGGACAGCAGGCCAGAGAACATGACATCAAGTTAAGTGACACATAAAATTATTGATTTGACAACGGCTATGCTCATTAATGTACATGCAATAAAACCTCAGTGAGTGAAAAGCCAATAAGAGTAATTGATCAAAACATCATTAAACATGTATAAACTTCCTGAAATGTGATATTTTCAGTTTTTCCCACCATCTCCCATCCACCAGTGGTATATTGTATGTTAGTCATAGCAGACCTGTTAGGCTAATATCTAATTGCTATGAACAAGCTAAAATAAAAGTGATTGTATACAGCCCAACAGTTCATCCTTACATCTTAAATCTGAGCGAGTTCATTGTGGCTGAGGTGACAGCTTTTATTTCCAAACCAGCCCTCCGCTAACGGTACCTGTTACCTGCTCAGCAGTGAATCCCCATCAGCAGTAAGACAGAGGAGGACAGAGAACAAGGGATAGTGACTAATTTACATGTTCTTCATGATTTTTCAAACTTCACCCAGTGCTTAATGTCATGAATATTATTTATATATTTTATTTTGATTTTAGATGTGTTTCCAGGGAGATATGTACCATAGTGATTATATAATTATGTAATAATAATAATATACATTTAAGCTATTTAGATAGACTTTATAGACTGCATTTGTAGATATTATTGTTGCTGCTCAAGGAATATTATTTTATCAAATTAAAACTATAAATAGATTCTTCTGAATTTATCCTTTTTGTAGTGATAATTAAAATTAATTCTGAGACTAATTTTATACTGAATATGAAATAACAGATAAAAGTTATCAAACCCCAAACCTATTTACTAAAGCCTAAAGTGAATTAGTAGACTATGTTTAAAATGATTCATCATAAAGCTCAGTTTCAGTCCTTTGTTAGGCCTCCAGTACATCTAATGCTTTAGTTATCTCCACGTTAGTCTGCATGTGTAATTTTTTTAGAATAATAACCGGGACCCTAAATATTTGTGTTGCCTGTGTTGATTTGCCCTGATTTCAGGGATTTCACCCAACAAGCTTCAAGAAGAAGTTGACTCCTGTGTGACACAGTAGGTAGCTGACCTATTGTTAATTGAGCACACAGAAGGCCTCATGAAGTTTGAGCGCCATCTGTCCCAAAGTAAATGTTGTCAGGCTTTGATTCATAAAGTGACATGATGATGAAACAGTGAGTTGTCGGCTGGGGTCAGCTAGCCATTAACAAACAGCTGTCCTGCTGAGTCCATGGAGTCAAAGTCCACACTCCACCATTAACAGTAACACATTTCTTACTTTTGAACACAGCATTGATATGGACACACTATACTAACACAAGATATATTGTCACTAATGCACATAGATGTACATAATGTACACTTTAAATGTTCGGAAAGCCTTGGATGACATAAAAACACTGATTTGAAAATCACATTTTATTGTATTCGTGTTTTGATTGTGATTATATTTGCTTTGACTTTTTTGGATGGCAAAGTCACGAATAAAGATAAGGCTGTTTGTCGACGTTGTAAAAGACAGCTGCCTTACTCTTCAACGACAACTAATCTGTAGCACAGACGAGCGGAGCAGCGCCAAGTGTACAGCCTCGTCAATCGAGTTGTCATGAAGGAGAAAATTAGCTATCGAGACCAAAACTGTTTCTTGTACCAGGCTGTAAACATGTTTATTTCTGCTGTAAAGTTGGACATTTTAACATGGGAGACCATGGGGATTGACTCGCTTTTGGAGCCAGACTCTAGTGGTCATTCAAAGAACTGCAGTTTTTTGCACTTCTCTGTTGGCTTCATTTTTCAGCTTCAGAGGTTGCCAGTTGGTTTTTTTCACACAGAGCTTAAGTACATCTTTTCTTCTTTCACAAGAATTTAAAACTGTCATTTCCACATTGTATTCAGATCATCTAACAATTTCAAATTCACAATGGTGTGAAAATGACACAAGAGCTTGTTCACTTTTCTTATATTATAAATACAGAGTACTGACTACTTCTTTCCTCTTGCAGAGCTGCACAACATACTGTATATTTGACAGTCATCCAGCTGTGAGGGTTTGTGTTGTGTTCAAGTGCAAGTTTTGGCAGAAGACTTTAAGGTGGCTGATCAGGCCGATCAGGCAGCCTTTGTCTGCACATGTTCTTTGAGGTCAGCTCACCGTGTCAGTGTCCTCATTAAGTGGAGCTACACGTTGGGGTGACAGGGTGTTGCAATGGCTGACGTCTGCTGTGCTGCACAAAGAAAAGTGTTTCTGAGGTGCTGACAGTGAAGATGGAGTGATGGCTCACTGCTACTGCAATGTGTAATTTGCACAGTAGGGGACCGGTGGTGCCTGATCAAGACTGTGTGTGCGCGTGTGTGTCAGGATTTGTCACATAACCCACGGATCAATGTTTGTCCTATTTCTATGGCCGGTGTCTTTTTCACTCCCTGCCACAGTGGTCTTTTGTGTTACCTGGTGTAACACCAGTGTGTTGTTGCTATGTTGCTTTCCTATCGTGATTTCAACATCCCATTTACTTGGGCCTTTGCTTGATTTGCACCACACAGCGCCACACATGTGAACAGTTACAAAGCAAATTCCAGTTACATTTTTATCAATCAATTTCTTAAATTAGCCTTTGATTATGTTCTGGCGCACCATCTAATGGATTAGAAAAACATTGGCCCGAGGCCAAACTTACTTGCCAAGTATGCCAACCCCTGACGTAGTGTGTTGTATTTCTATGGTTGGAATCCCTGGATCAGATGGGAAAATGTGGAAGTGAATAAATCTCCTTTCTCAGTAACAACTGTTGAGATTCCCCGCTGGCGAGACACTTAACTTTCACTGCTTCTCTGGATCTTCATTGGCCAAGAGCAGCAGGATGCAGTTTCTGAGATGAATAAAGATTTAATGTGCTTTTGAAAAGCATTAACAATGAATTCACCATGTTATGATTTGAGCACTGATGAAATGAGTGATGTGAGGATAAATTTTGTGTCCTGTGTCCTCTCCCTCAGATGAAGACCGTGAGTGTAGCGCTGGTGTTGTGTCTCAACGTGGGAGTGGACCCTCCTGATGTGGTCAAGACCTCCCCCTGTGCCAGACTGGAGTGCTGGATAGGTGAGTGAAGCTGATCCTGAATATAACAATATATGTCAGACCTTGACAGCAAAAGTTTAGCTTTTACTATGCAGCATTTTGGGGATATTCTCAAGTCTTTCCCGTGGGAGCTCTCCTCATAAGGCCTCTGTCAACTGAGGATGAAGCAGTCTGCCCACTCCAGAGCCACACCACGTAACTCAGAACAAAAACAAAAGGAACCATCTCCATTGAATGGGAACCTCAAAACCACTGTTTAGCTCCCCTGAGACTCCTTGACTCTTAAGAGTGAGGGAAGCACATTTAAAGAGTTCTTAAAGTTTCTTAACTTTCTGACCATCTTCTGAGGACGCTGACACTCTGCAGAAGTGACACTTGGTTTTTCAGACACTGTTTGGGGAAGTAAAGGCAGAGGCGATGTCCTAAAATGCACCACAGTGTTTAATTTCATGACATGTGCTTCTTCTGAAGGCTAACAGAAGGAGTTGCATCTGCTTTTCAGTAGCCATTGTGTGTGTGGTTGTTTGAAAATGTAAATTTATTTTATAAAGTAGCACTATGAAAGGAAATTGTAAAATGGAGAAACATTTTATAATATAATATTTCTCCATGTGCAGAGATTCTAGATAATTCCTCAACTATTATGTAAAATGAAATTGCTTATCATACCAAGAAACAGAAGTTATTATGTGACTCATCAAACCCATCATTTTGTTGTGATAATGATCTGTAAGAAGACCTCATTCATCAAAAGAGCAGTGGTTTAATTCTCTGCATGAGGCATATCAGTATCTCCTGCAAACCTGCCAATAACATTCTTCTCTGCCTGCTGAGCGCAATCTGATCTGTCCTCAATCTATATTCTGCTATTCTTCATGCCGTATTGATTTAGTCTCATCAATATTTCAACCTGAGGGGCGGCTTCTATTTTCCCAAACCCTGCTTTTGATTTATTAAGAAAGCGTCCTTTGATGCTGAAAGGATAAACTTTAACTTGCCCTTGTAATCATGGTATTGTTGTTTCCTTTGCTTGAATATTAAATAACGTCAGCTTTGTTACATTGTTGTGGATAACACTGCCACCTGAAAATATAACGCACTGATGTAAATGTGTGTGGTGAATAATATACTTATAGCTGGTTTGTCACCACCAGGTTGAGTGTGTATGGTTTCGCGTTGCTATGACTGTTGTATGCTGTGTGTGTTTACAATCTGTGTTTGGTTGCCAGATCCTCTATCGATGAGCCCTCAGAAAGCCCTGGAGACCATCGGGGCCAACCTGCAGAAGCAATATGAAAACTGGCAACCCAGGGTGAGTGGGTTCACATGGATGAGCCTCCTTCTTTCCTTTATACGATTCTGTGGCCACAAACACACGCTCACAGCTCTGCACATCGCTGCACATACACACTTGGATGAAATGCTTCCAATAGAACAGATAGAAATGGAAATAAAATAAATCACAGACTCTCAAAAGACTTGACCTTGGTCACATCATGTTATCACTGATTGATTTGCCATACATTAAGCCATACTTAGCTTTTTTCAAAGGTGTCTTAGAAGTTGGTTTATAGATTTTGGCAACTGTCCTGACTGTTCAGGGTGTCTTTCAGTTTTTTGCCAAATCTGTGAGCCTGAATGATGTTGGTTGTAGTAATGTATCAGAACCGGCAGCTCATTCCAACAGTGTTTTCTGTGGTTGTCACTTCATCAGTTTCTACTCTCTCGTGTGTACAATTCTTGTCCAGATGAAACCTGAGTGAAGCAGGGACAACTTGCACATACTGGCTTGTTCAGTCTGCGAATTAGCAAAAATGTTTTGGTGTCCTGTATTTGATGGTGGCTCCTAATTCACAGTGTTTACATTTAGTCATCATTCGAATGTGAGAGAAGTAGAATGGATTTATTTTAGATATCTCATTGTGTCAGCTGTAACACTCTTCCTGTACGCACCGTGCCAACAAAACACCCACATGCTCTTGACAGTGATTCATAGTTTTTTTTTTTTTTTTAAAACAGATGCATCATGTGTTCTTGTAAATTCAGCTGTTATAAGTTCACGTGTGTGTGCATGAATCAGTATCATTGCCAGCAGCGGCACTTCTCCTTGGCTCCTAGCTGTGAGCGAGCTCAGTGTTTTCCCAGAGGCTCCTCGGTCGGTTGTCCTCCTCGAGCAGCCCCTCGGCCTCCGAGCATTGGAGCCCCGGAGTCCGAGCAGATGGCAGGGGCAGCTCCTCCATCACTCCTGAAAACATTCCTTCTACATTAAGACAGGACCCTGATGAAGCGAGACAACCGAGGGTCCAAGTTTAGGCTGTGAAATGAGGCAGAGATGGAGAGTAAATGATAAGAGATTGATAGGAGGAGACAACAGAAGCTGCTCACACAGACGGATCATAACTGTGCTCAGGCAACAGGAAATCTGATCTTTGTGATTGACTGCACACAATGTAAAAGGCCAGTGTTTAGACAGCAGTCTATCATTTGCTGTCAGTCCACCATTAAATGTCCATTGTAATGGTCCGTGCTGACTAAAAGTCAGTCCACATTGCCCAGATATGCTTCTACTTATTCTTTATTCTTTATTCAGATCCCCATTAGCCTCTGCTACAGCGGTAGCTAATCTTCCTGGGCTCCACATGAAATCATACACACACACACACACAGACAGACACACAAACATCGACTGACACCCTGTCGGTCTAAACAGAAATGACATAATTAAAGGTCAAAACTCTCAACATAACAAACAATGCATGTACAGAGTTTATAAGCAATCCAATGCGTTGATAATAGATTTGCTGCTTTTCTTTGACATGAGCTTCTCATCTCACGATTAGTTTTGCGAGTAGATGGCTCTAGTCTCAATAACAAACAGTCACACTCATTTGTGGCGTTTTCTTTGGGAAATGGTGGCCCCACTCTTTCCCCCGAAAGGTTAATGTTTCATTCGAGAAGATTTTATAAATGTTTTATGAAATCAGTGGAGGGGGACAACCTCTCCTATGAAACACTGTGTGGATTCTACGCACCGACACCTGGAACTGAGACTGGAGTCTGTGAAAGTTGAATTAATGAATGATACCATACCATTAATGCGCTGCTGTGTATTGGTGCTAAGAGTATATCATCTGACTACCATGGTGATGGTAACTAATAATTAACTAAGAAGTCTTATTTCAACTGGTTTTATGTAAACATCCTAAAGTCAGACTGTTGAATACACTGTGGCACAGATGGTGGTGAATATAACATGTTAGTTGGTGCTGGTTTTAACTCTCCTCCATAGTTTTTTTTTTTTCTCTGCGCTTCTTGCTATGTCAAATATGTGTCCTGTGGGGAGTGATGGGAAAAAATAAGCAAACACTTGAAATCTGATCCGAACGGTTGAGCAGAGCAGATATTGGATTTTAGCATCATTTCAAACCACCTGCGAATATGTTTTAAAGGACTGGATTTGATCGTGCCCTTTTCCTGTTGAGACTCGGTAACAAAATGTGTGTTTGGCGTAAGATATGTGGCAATCTGATTTCAGCTGTCTGTCTGAACACGGCCCCTGAGGGAGAGGGAGAGGAGGATGGAGGCTTTTTTTTTTGGGTCAGGTGGAAAGGCATAAGGTAAAAAAAAAAGAGACAGCATACGCAAGGTAACTTTAGTAGCTGGTGAGCTGCCTCAGCATCAAAATGGACATCATCTTGTTGCCTTGTTACTGGGAGCTGCGGGATCCTACACCGCCATCAGAAAACATCTATCATGAGGTAAAAAAAAAGCAAAAAAAAACAATGTGTGGCTGTTTGATAAGACGGTAGTGAAGTAATGCGTGAGGTACGAGGAGGTGGAGGAAGAGACGTCCCGAGAGAGAGCTGCTGAGGGAATGTAGGCTCGGGCTTGGCTGACCTGGGAGGTCAGCAGCAAATGGCGGTATGAGTGCAGGAGGAGGAGTGGGAGGGTGAGAAAGCTGTTCCGTTTTCTTTTTTTTTTTTTTTTTTTTCCAGCCTTAGGATCCTCAGCTCTGCAGCACCACCACAGAGCAGCGTTCGCCAACACACCTTACATAAACAGCTGACAAAGCAATCAATTACACCGCAGCTATTTACCTGCTTTGGCACCACCACGAGAAATCTTGTAATAAGTTCATTTCAGATGAGGAGAGTTGGGAAATATTTGGACCGAAGAGCAAATCTAAAAAATTTCTGTCACCTTTCCTGCGTGTTGCCCGTGGTGTTTGTATGCAAGAGTGGCGTTCCTTAGAGTCGAGCCGCCCGGAGAGCTTAGCTGTGCCAGCATGCCGTCACGAATTCACTTCTGTGTTTACCTCCTTACTCTTACTTTAACCCTCATGGCCAGAAAGGCAAACATCGTCTTGGCTGCTGCCCACTCGCTTTCTCTACCAGCACTCATTTTTAACTAACTCTCTCTCTCTCTCTCTCTCTCTCTCTCTCTCTGACCTTCTTCATCATCGTTTTCCACTCCACATCATTGACGTCTCCATGTTTGTACCAGCCTTCTCTGCCTGTGGGTTAGTTTTGTGTGTGTGTGTTTTTTTTTGCGCTCGAGTGAAGAAACGTTGTTGTGATCCCTTTCTGCCTCTTTTTGACTTGGAGCTGAGAGCTAATATAGAACGTGCAGATTACACAACATTACAGTACAGTACCATCCCGATGCTTGAATCAGCTCGAGCATCAGAGTCAGTCTACATCAATGGCTTCTACAACATGACAGCCGAAGCTTTTCTACTTTCCTCTATGCTTTGGTAGAGTTAGCAGGTGGATGGCCCCAAAACAACAATTATAGAAAATGGTATTATAAAATATATATACATTGTTTTAAATGTTAACAAAAGAAATGATCTTTAAAAACATTTAAAATGCTTAAGAACTCCTTTCATTGTTTTTTTTCTTCTCGTATTAAGTTTCTATCACTGTGATAAGCCAATGAGAGTAGACCAGAGGCTCTACTTGTTTGCTATCTCAGTCTGATTACACGTTAAAAGATTACATCCATGACATGGAGTATCAAAATGGAAAGCTAGTTAGCAACAAGTTTAACAATTAACAACTTGAAAGTAGAGATTTTTATGATTTTATTATTTTTGATTCTCACGTGGGCCATGAGGTAGAAAAGGCTGGGAACCGCTGCATTATAATAATGCAACTATTTCCAATACTATTGATACCATTTTATTTTTCTCAGCAATAGCCATTCAATATATGAACATTCTGTAACTGCCTCTCTGCACAGCAGCTTTTGTTGGTCCACCACGTCATGTTGGATGCCCACTGGTAGCAACGCTTGTAGTGGACGTGATGGAGAAGATTGATGGTAAATACAGGGGATAATATTTTATCACGAGTAGTTGTTCAGTATTAATGTGTTGAGCAACACTTTCAACTGTCCTTTGTATTAAATTAATCTACAAACTACAACAACGACAAAGAAAAGAAAAGAAACAGACGATATAAAGCTCCCCATGTTGAGAGTGACAGAGTCTATTCATATATTTTAATGACAGAACAAGCCTGTCTTATCACCGTGGATCTTTTGTGTCACAGATACGTAGGTGTGAGCATGTACCGCAAAGATCATCAAGGGCAATATTAATGTCGCTAAAATAAACAGGTATCCACAATCAAACGGAATTAATAAAATAAAACAAAACAATAACAACAATATAATACAAGAAAAACATGCACATTATCAGCACTCAAACTAAAGACAGGGTCAGAGAGTATACTTATGAATGACATTATTGAAATGTTTGAAGTGATCCATTTAAAATGGACCTCAGTTTCTCAGTTTGAAGACAGCATGATGTCCTTGATCCACTGCGTAAGAGATGGAGAGCAGACGGCCTTCCTTTGAATGGATTCTGCTGTATTTCTGACAGTGTAGCTGCTCATGGGCTCCATGCTGTTATTAACTGTTGCCAAATCAACCAAGACTGAAATCTTAAGGATACTAAATTTAAAGGAGCTCATTTCGAGTTGTGTTTGTAACTGTGGTTTTGGAGCTTCACAGTTCAGATTAGGGCTGTAAATAGTTACTGTCATCATTAAGGATTCATCTGTAGATCTCTCTTTGTTTTTCTTTTTCCCATATCCAAATCATTAAATCAAAACTTTGCCACCAACAGTTCAAAACCCACAGTCAGTTTAAAATGACATGACGCTTATAAGCTGTAAACAGTTAGTGTTCCTCAGCACTAGTTTTTAAATCCTCACCTCACCACGGATTCTGTTTTCTGTCGTGTGTGGGTTCCTCACCTGTAGCGTTAGCATAGCGCGCTAGCAGGCAGTCACTAACAAAGAGCAC